CTTTGATTCTCTTATTTTGTTTCCTAATTTAGGTTGGGATCAATTGGAAATAATTTGAAATTCAAATTCATTCAAATTTGAATTCAAAATATTTCCTAAATGAGCTCATCTATTTTAGGAAAGTATTTGATTTAGATCTATTTTGAATTTTAAATTCAAGAGGATTTAATTAAATCTTTCCTAAATCTAAAACCATAAATCAGGAATCTTGATTTGCTCTCATTAAATCCCCTCCACCTCATCAAGCCGTTGCCCCCCTTTCCTTGCCTTTCCCGTTAAGGCCTCAATCACACCTCTCCCTTTTATCAAGCCGTTGCCCCCCTTTCCTTGCCTTTCCCGTTAAGGCCTCAATCACACCTCTCCCTTTTATCAAGCCGTTGCCCCCCTTTCCTTGCCTTTCCCGTTAAGGCCTCAATCACACCTCTCCCTTTTATCAAGCCGTTGCCCCCCTTTCCTTGCCTTTCCCGTTAAGGCCTCAATCACACCTCTCCCTTTTAATGCTTGCCGTCCCATTAATTCGCCAAAATAAGGAATTTCCAAACTTCAAATATTTCCTCTCTTCCCATACCAAATCTGAAATTTAAACACCATATTTTCCTCCAGCTGGCCGTTCTTTCTTTCCAGACAGCTGCCCACCGAATCCCTGTTTGCCATCCAGAGGTTCGAGACATCTTTTCCTGAGAGTCCAGGCCGACTACCTTGCCAAATTGCTGATTCAGAAAGGCCAGATTGCTGTATACAAATTCCTGCTGGCTTCCCTGCACAGTAACTCCTATCCATAAGGCTCTAACCACTGCCCAGCATTCCCTAGTCAACCCAGGTGGATGTCCAGACTTTGTGGACTCAAGAGATTGTTGATGTGGATGATGAAATATATGCAAAACTGTTGTCCCTGCTGTAAAAGCTGCTGTTTAGTCTTCTGAATTTGCTCTTCAAGACCCTTACGATTCAATCCTCCTCCCTGTTCTACATCAGGCCATATATACAAGGAAAATACATTTTGTTGTACATAATACTTAATCCATGCATATTTTCAAGGTAATCTTGAACCAGACAGCAGATTTGTTAGGTGGTGGGCAGCAGTGGAGAATCTGCTCTTGAAAGTTGGGAAAAAATGACGTTGAATTTAGAGTCTAATTGCAATGTTATTCCTGATAAAGATGTTAGATGGCTAAGTAGGTTATTTATTTTCTTACTTTACCAGAGCAAGTGGCTTGTGGCTGCTCTTTTTGGTCTTGTCATTCTTTGGAAGCATGATGCAGAAGCTTTATGGGCTGCAATGGGATCGGTGATGAATGCATGGTTATCAACTATACTAAAGCGGCTATTGAACCAAGATAGGCCATCTGCATTGAGATCTGATCCTGGAATGCCTTCTTCACATGCCCAATCAATCTTCTATGCGGGAGTTTTTTCAGTTGCTTCATGTAAGCTTCTCATGCAACTCTAGCACTATATATTGCAATTGTCTTAATGCATTAACCTTCTTGAGCAGTCACTTCAATAATTGTTGGTTTCTCTTGTGGATTGATCTTAATCTACATTATCATCATTAGCCTTGTTACAAATAGTTGAGATCCTGATTTTTCATATTTTCTCATTAAGTGCAGCTTAATGCGTTAAATCCATTCTTCACAGATTACTTTGAGCAAATGCTATCCATGTAACTTTAGATCTATCTCTTTTTTTTTTTTTTTTGTAATCCCATTACAGTAGTTTTATCAACTCAAATATTGGTTCAGATTTCACTTTTTATTGTACATGATCAAATCACCTAAGTTTACTTTCAATTAGTTGAACTTAAACCACCTAAGTTTACTTTCAATTAGTTGAACTTCAATAGATGTCAATCCAATAGTTCAATTTATATAATCATTTTTTAATTTATCATTTATAATTTTGTCAGAATCTAAATATTCTCATTTGCTGTCATCTTTAAATTATATCAATGATCATTTTACTTCTCAACATCTAGTTCCATCTAACATCATCTACTTAAAGTATGATTTTACTTTTATAACATTTATCTTTCAGCATCATAAGAAAATTAGCTTTTCCCGATTCCTAAAAATTGCAAAAAATAGCTAAACAAATGTTAAGAAAAATTTACTATTGACTAACAAAAAAAATAAAAAGAATGAAAAGGAAAATCAAAGAGCCACATCTCTTCGAACTGGAACTTTTATTAGGTCCGGTGTAAGGACGTAGAGGAATGTCCGGTCAGAGGCAAAATCCCGCAAAAAAACTCGGTATTTGCTCGGTATTGCTAGGTATTATTTGATAATAATGAGGAATACCGCTCTGTGTAGACCAATACCGAGCAATACCGAGTTGTACCGCGTTTTTACTAGGTGCAACTTTTGTATAACTCGGTATTGCTCGGTATAGCTCGGTATAACTCGGTATTGGGTCTTCACGTGATGGTATTCCTCGTTATTGTTTGGTATTGCTCGGCATTTGATTTGTATTTCTCATGGCCTCCAATTCCTCTATGTCCAATAATAATTGTTCCTTCGAACTGGCCCCACTTCATGCGGTTTTACGCACAAATGAGGCATCTCCTCGCTACTATAACTCCTCTTCAACAAACTCATTGATAAGAGTAGAAGAAACGGAATAGAAAAACTTACCTTCTGTTCATTCACGTTTACGAACAGTCCCCGCATACTACACTTCACATAATCAGACCTTTCACGCCGGAATCCCGATCCCGCCGAGTACCCAAGCCGCTTGTGTAACCTCACTCCCGTTTGACGTCCCTGCACCTTGCCTCCGTCCGCTTCAACCTGCACGGAACCGAACGCCCTGTCCTTTTGCACGCCTTCAACCCGCACGGAACTGAGTGCCCAAGCCCAGCCTCTGCTCACTCCCCTCCCCAGCCTTCATTCAATTTGCGAACACCTGTCCGACACCCTCACGTCAGACTAATCCCACGCACCTAGCCCTCCGCTTCCCTTCTTGTCTCCGTCTTCAACTCCCATAAGTAGCCGCAAACACCTTTCTCCCGATCACACCTGTAAGCACGAAAGAATCGTGTGATTACCTCTGCCCGATCTGCTGAATGTAAAAGCCTGCAACCCGTTTACTATTGGCCCTACTTTCTTCACACGACAACACCTATACGAAAACTTTCTGTTTTCTAGTGTGGCCCTTTGTTTGTACCTACAGAACTTATCTATTTCACTACTCTTTTAATTAATAAAGTGAACTAAAGCTCTATTCATTCAAAACAGAACAACAAACTAAAGAAAAAGGCTTGCTTTTAAATTGGCAATATTGATTTAAGAAATTAAATTGTTGTATAGTTTCTATAACTTTTTTTTAAGCAATAGGTGTTGTCAGTTAAAAAACAAAATCTCACGCCATCGATCTCTTGTATGGGAAGAAGAATTATAAATTCGAAGACCTTTGCATAGTTGAATCTTTGATCCTGGCAAGTGGAGGTTTTAAATTCGAAGACCCGCGCGTGATTTTAAATCTGAGTGGATGATTTTATTTTTTGAAGACTTGTGCCGTTGATTTTTTTTTTGAAAACCAAAGCAAAACAGCTTTATTACTTAAAAGGAAACTAATGATAATTATTACAACCTACAATCATCTGACTACTTTAACAAATTGATAAAAGAAGGATGGATTTTATTTATATCTAAAGCTTTCCAACAAAAAGAACTAATGCAAGCATAGTTAGCACAAAGATCTGCTAACTTGTTATTATCCCTTCTCACACAATTAAAAACAACATAATGAAATTCTTTAATGAATGAAATATCTTGCAGTCCTTCTCCACCCTTATCCACCATTTTCTTGATGTAATTCATTACATTCTTGTTGTACCCTTCAATGATCAATCCTTTGTAATCATGCATCCAATCCTTCAATACTGATTTGATCGAAAGGATGGTGATGTAGTGGATCGTCGGAATATTCGACCTGCAAGAAGGATTTTTGGCTCCCAATCCAGGGAAGAAGAGAAACAAGCTTCAAAAGCTTTAAAATGAGCTAATATTCATCAATGAGCTTTTCCTCTATAGTACTTCATATTTATAAAGCTAAAAGAGTATTCTAGAAACTAGATAAGGTGTCCTAAGGACTACTTCTAGCTTAAATGCATCGCATCAGATGGCCTGTAGCTCCATATCCGCTGCATCCCAGTGAACGTAAGACTTACCAAATGCCATTAGGAATCTCCCTTGACAGTCTCTAAAAACTCATCCAATTCCAGCTTTATTAGTCTTGAAAAGAGCTGCATCTATGTAAACTTTGATCCTATCAGGTGGAGGAGGATGTCAAATATTCAACAACCTATTCGGTTGATTAACATCCTCAATACCTGAATTTATACAAGTAGAATTTTTTATAATTGCAGAAATACTAACAACATTGGATGCTATTATCGACGGATTGGTATTTTTCCTTTCATGAAAATACAAGTTCATTTCCTTCCAGGATAAGTATACTGTGTTGCAATACAATTTCACCATCCATTTACAACAATCTTCAATCGAGTTCATACTTGGAATCCGAAATCCCCAACTGTTTAAGATCTCTATAACTTCCTTGAGTTTACAGCAACCAACTGCTATATGATCAAAGCTTTCGACTACTTCACAGCCTCTTGGACAATTTTCATACGCCTGAAGCCTCCTATAACAAAGAAAATGATTGGTAGGAATGGCTTTATTAAGCATTCTCCACCAAAACAGGAAAACTCTAGGATTTAATTTTGCTTTCTCCATCCCTTTCCAAACAGCTTCAGAATTGTTGTCTTTTGCCATTGCTTCTGATGCAATTGTTGCTATAGTCTTCCCAAAAAATTTGTGTATCAGCTCTAGCTTGTCCTCTCCTCCACTTGGATGGATTTTAATGGTTTTAATCATCTGTACCAGTTCCGTTCCAAAATAATTTTGCAGTTCCATGATATCCTACTCTCCATCGCTTATAAATTTATCAACTGCAAGATTGAAATCTTCCATTAAATTAACAAACGTTGGCCAACTCTCAAAGCTCTTATCCAACAACCATATGTCCTTAAAAGCTTGGATAGATCTCCCGTTCCCAACTGACCATCTTACAACTGGCTTCAAATATTTCTCTCCATTACAGAGAATCTTCCAAGTAACTGATCCTCCTCTGCTAGCTGCATCTCTGCCATTGATTGTTCCGTATTTTGGAAATAGAAACTTGTGAATTAAAGAGTCTTTTTGTTGCCCATACCTCCATGCTAATTTGGCCCTCAAAGGCCCAGATTTTTTTGAACAAGAATTGATCCCGAGGCCACCAAATTCTTTTGGTTTACACATAACTTCCCAATTAACATAATGAAGACCAGCACTTCCATCATTCTTATTCCATATGAAGCTTCTACACAACTTCTCCACCTCATTCAAGACTTGTTTTGGGACCAATGAAAGAGTAGAGTGAAATGTAGGAATAGAAAGCAATACCGATTTCACTAAAGTTATCCTCTCTGCCATTGAAAGGAGCTTGCATCCCCATACTCCAATCATGCTCATTGTTTTGTCTACATTGAATTGGAAGTCAGCACTTTTCATTCTTCTTAAAGCTATTTTAACCCCCAAATAAGAAAATTCCCGGACCTCCTTAAAATTCATTAAACTGCAAATTTTTTTCCTCTTCCTTCTTCCTACTGCTTTTCCAAACAAAATGTCGGATTTGAGCAGGTTCACCTTTTGGCCCGTCCATTCACAGAAATTCATGTGTAATCTTTTGACTTCCTTAACTTCATTCTTGCTTCAGAGAACACTATTATGTCATCGGCATATAGTAGATGAGATATTTTTGGCCCCCTTGTGGTAATACCAATAACAATTTGGTCTTCTTTGTGTAGGAAAGTATTGGATAGGAGTTGAGCACACATTATAAATAGAAAAGGAGATAACGGGCATCCCTGGCGAAATCCACATTTAGCCTCAATCCAATTGGAGAAAACTCCATTAATTGACAAAGAAAACCTTGGATTAAGAACACAATCAGCAATAAGCTTAGAAAAGCAAGTTGGAAACCCGAAATAGTCCAAAATCCTGACCAAAGTAGGTCATCCCATAGAATCGTATGCTTGTTCCATATCAATCTTGTAAGAAACCAATCCCTTTGTTGATCTTGAATGCCTGAACTTATGGAAGATTTCTTGAGCTACCAGTACATGATCAGAGAGTGTTCTACCCCTCAAAAAGACAGCTTGTTCTTCAGTAATTAACTTGTGGATGACAAGTAACATTCTATTTAAGAGCATATTGACAACAATCTTGTACACTGAGTTACATAGGCTTATGGGTCTATAATTTGACGGAGATAAAGGAATTTTAATTTTTGGAATTAATTCTATGATAGTATCCTTCCAATTATCATTCATCCTTCCATTAATAAAAAAATTATCCATTGCCTTCCATAAATCATGTTTAATAAT